CACACACCACACACACCACTCACCATACACACATATGCACACACCACAGACACAAATATACCATACCACACACCTCACACGCCATACACACACACCACAGACACAAATATACCATACCACACACCTTACACGCCATACACACACACCATACACCACACACAAACAAATCCAGAGGAAAAGGCAGCCCTCAGGTAAGTGAGTCAGCTCAGTATTGGATAACTGGCTACATAGGTATAACATATTGAAAACTACAACTAGAACTTGACCTTTGAAAGCGCTACAAGAGCACAAGGAGCCCCCATCTGGGCTCTGGGCTCCCCCAACACACAACCAAAGGAGCTGGGTAGGACTTGGGACCCATGAGGCCGCGTGCAGCCCTGGGCCAGCAGGCGGGGAAGGGGCTGCCTGACAGTAGACACTGGCAGCACCGGCTCCCAGGGCGCGTTTACGTGCAGGGCACAGGGCCAGAGGCTGGGAATCTGGAGTCTTCTCAGACACAGCGGCGTTGCTGAGGGACAGAGAACGCTGCAGGGCGTTTGGTCAGGAGGAACAACCTTGAAGGGCCAAGATCCCCAAGAAGAGCAGGAGAAGAACTAAGAACAAGTGGCCAGTTCTTACCCTAAGGTATCTGCTGAATTCTGAAGGCATGAAGGGTGGAATCTGAAAAACCCAAGCAGGAAGGCCCTGAACCCCAAACAGGAGTCTTCCACAGTCTCAGAGGCTTGAGAACAAAGATTCGAGTTCAGGGTCCTCCAGGGGGATTCCAGGTGACCACACCAGGGCCCAGTTGGAAGCCCAGGAAGGCACAAACCTGAACACAGGACAGAACACAGGCAGGATGAGCCTTATCCAGGCTCCAGCCTGCCCCAATTCAGCTTAGCCTCTGACTGAATTAGGGAGCCTTCACTCCCACTGCCTGGAAAAGGTAAATGTCTCTGAAAGCACACATCCCCAGGGACACTACGAGGTTTTAACAATGCCTGACACTAAATTAAAAATTACAAGATATGAGGTGGCTCCTGTGGCTCAGTGGGTAGGGCACTGGCCCCATATACCGAGGGTGGCAGGTTCAAACCCGGCCCCAGCCAAACTGCAACAACAACAACAGAAAAATAACCAGGTGTCATGGCGGGCACCTGTAGTCTCCAGCTACTCGGGAGGCTGAGACAAAAGAATCGCCTAAGCTCTGGAGTTGGAGGAAATTGCTGTGAACTATGACACCACAGCACTCTACTGAGGGCAATAAAGTGAGACTCTATATCTATTTTAAAAAAAAAAGGTACAAGATATGAAAAGAGGTAAGACTCTATGATTAAAAATGCAAAGAAAAAAATAAAGCAAAGAAAAACAAGAAATAAAGAAGCATACCAAGCTAGGTGCCTATAATCCCAGCACTCTAGGAGACCAAGGTAGGAGGACTGCTTGAGCTCTAGAGTTGGAGGCTGTAGTGACTTAGGATGATGCTACTGCACTCTACCAGGGTGAAAGAGTGAGACTGTCTCAAAAAAATGCATACCTACATATCTAGGAGTTATTATTAAACAACTCTTTAATACAGCCATGACTAAAACGTTCAGACTAAGAGAGAAAAGATAGAGAACATAAATGGAAAAATACAACATTATGCCAGAGACTTGGAAACTATGAAAAAAGAGTCAGATGGGCTCGGTGCCTATAGCTCAGCAGCTGGGGTGCCAGACACATCTACCGGAGCTGGCAGGTTCGAATCTAGCCTGGGCTTGCCAAACAACAACGACAACTACAACCAAAAAAAAAAAAAACAGACAGGCATTGTGGCGGGCGTTTGTAGTCCCAGCTACTCAGGAGGCTGAGGCAAGAGAATTGTTTAAGCCCAAGAGTTTGAGGTTGCTGTGAGCTGTGACACTATGGCACTCTACCCAGGGTGACAAAGTGAGACTCTGTCTCAAAAATTAAAATAAATTAAATTAAATTAAAGTACAAAAATAACATATAACTAACAAGTTGATAGAGAGAAAAATTTAAAAATTTAAATATCTTTTATTAATCCAAAAGAGGGCAACAAAAGAGGAAAAACAGATAGGAAAAGATAGGTCAAGTTCAAGTGGAAAATAAAGAGTTAATATTGTTGATAAAAACTCACCTGAACTACTATGAACTAATACTCCAAGTAAACCATTACAATGGTCAGATGAGATTGTTTTTAAAATATATATATTCTGTTTTCAAGAGACTTTTTACTTAAAATGACACAGAGAGGTTGAAAATAAAAGGATAAAATTGTTGAGTTCACATATTCTCAGTTCACTACTGAGAAGGAAAAATATATATCATACATGTTCTTTCAAAGTGCACACAGAAATTTACTAAAGTTTGCCATATGCTGGTCGTACAGCTTCAATAAATATTCAGTT